CCCCCCATCTTAGCACAAGCTAAGCTGGCTCCCCCCCTTCTCCTTGGTAACTTTTCCTTTGTTTTTATATTCCTTCACACCGAAAAAGATGTAGACGTGGTACGACTGGTCATGGCGTCTAGGTGGACCAATGCAGCTGGCATCAACACATATCCTGCACCCGCAGGGCCCCCCTTTTTGGTCACGGCAGCTATGTAAATGCGCCAAAGAGCCTCTTTCTTGTTTTAAAAATCTGTATATAGAACTACAGATTAGAAGCCCAGGGCTTACCCCCTGGCGGCCTTTGTCCCAATAGGGAATGGTGGGAAGCGTGCCTGTCACGACCCACGGCCGTTAAATACACACACACACACACACACACACACAATTCGCAAGAATTTGGTTAGTACTAACTATTCACTTTTTCCACAGTCGTTTACATCCAGCCAGGGCATATCCGAAACCCCGTCACCTCCTCCTATCGTCGCTCATCGCAAGCCTTTCGGCCGCAAGCCCACCGATTCGGCTATCCCTCCAGGTTCTTCCCACCACCACCAGCACAATACTGCAACCGCCTTCCCACTTCTACGCCATTCAGCATGGCTAGTGGTTCTATCACTGAGCTCATGACGTATTGAGAACTCTATCGATCACCTCTCGGTCCTGAACATCTACCTTGAATCGTAAGCGCCGCAGCAACTGGTCGTACACATCAATCTGTTCTTCAAGTTCTACAACTCGTCTGCGTATTGTTACTCGAGGAACCTAGAGCTGGGTGGAACAATGTACCTTTTGGTTCTCTCTTGCTTCCGCCTCAGCATACTCGCAAGCGACATCGAAAAAGTGACATTGATGACATGGCTGGTGGCCGTCACATTTCGTCTTTCGATGTCTGCATTCTAGGCATGCTCTCTTAGCACGACAGATTGCGTTTCGTGGCTGGGGGCGAATAATCCGAGGAATAGCAACCTTGGAATTTGTAGGACTAAGAAGCGAGTCGAATTGCAGATCTGTTCGAGGGGATGATCCATGTTCCTCGAGCTTAAGCATGCCTCCGTGGGATGCTGAAGGGGAAGTCAATTTCAAAGGCTCCTTCTCCATTGTCAGGGCAGGCTGGAAGTCAAATTAGTGGAAGGGTAAACGGTTACGCTACTATGTTTAAGACTTGTTCGTGTTTCTGTTTAAGTACTTCCATTTGTGACTTGTCAGCTGGTAAGAAGCAGGGGGTTGGCTCAAAAACCAGTTGATAAAGGACCCACTCCACCTCCATCTGTTGGACGGCTATGACTCCCAGCAACAACCTTAGCGTCAGCTGGACGCAACGAGTAGTTGGTGAGATATAAGCAAATAATCATTTCTATCATAGGTTGGTATGAAAGTAGTAGTGGTTTATATATATGCATCAACCTTCGACAATCACTATGGTCTAAGAATAATTTTTAACCACCACCCATTCAACCGTATAGATATTGAATCAATATTTTAGATCTAGATTAGTATAATGATAAATACCATATATTTCCCAAAGCGGTTAATGGGGCGTCATTTTAGCAAAACCCAATCTTGACGGAAATCTATACAGGCCTTTGCCACGGATCTCAAGGCTTGGGTGGAGAAGCGACAACATGCCTCGGAGACTGGACAGAACGGAGACACAGGCGACCAAGCCGTTCAACTGACAGTCTGACGCGACGTGGTTTGAACATCCTTGCCGTTCCTATGTTATGGCGGCCGCACAGTTCAACATTCGGTCTTCAAATCTGACGACATGTGATTACGACTTACGATATCTGAAACTTGACCCAAATGATCTGCAATGTACCACACGCAAAAGTATTTTGCTGTATCTGTATGACTGACGAACTCTCATATCGCCGTTGCACTCTGTCTCTCAAAGAGCTTCCCTGTAATCCTCTATGGAAGGGAATCAAAGGTAACAATCAACCCTCGAAGACCGCTCTCTACTGGAAGATAACGATGCCACTGCGACTCGGTACTGATGGCTCTAATACCGCGCCGAGTGAAGGACTTGAAAAGGGACATCATGACTTCGATCCAAACTCCTCGAATTCGGTTAGGCCCTTCACTGGTGTTGCAGCCGCCGAAAGGTGCAGACTTGCCTTCCATTCTTTGACATTTTCAACCTTGACGGGAATCTTCGCGCTGGACACTGAAGGCTCATGTCCATTGACTGCTACAACGTCTTGAGTTTCACGCAACGCTGAAGCGTCAGGGTTCTCTTCAGCGGCGGCACTGTCTTCTGCTGCTGCAGAAGCTCCAGTAGATGCCCGTGCAATAAGATGTATAGACAGTTTCGCGCGAGTTGAAGAAGAGGGATGGATGTACTGGTTGAAAAATTCGAGTATGTCTTTCTTCGTAAGTGGTTCAATGTTTTCGACGTCGCGATAGACTGTTGAGATTTGGTCGATCGAGTTAGTCAATGTACAGGGCGTAAAGTAAGAGTGCAGGTTACATAGATTGGAAGGATTTGGAAAGTAGCGAACGTACCTTGCTCAAAGTCAAACACCTCACTCGTAATATGAGTCCAAAAACGCGACGTTTCCTGATCCAAATTCTTCAATTTCTCCAAGCGTTTGTTGATCAATCCGATCTTATGCTCCTCGAACGTCTCGTCGGTCATCGCGCGCAAATCCTGCTCAAGCTTCACCAAAAATGCATCACAGCGCTCTTCGAGGTACTTGCAATCCCTCTCGCTCTGCAGGAGGATGCGCCATGTGCCGGCCGTCACATAGACGCCTACAGCCGAGTTGACGATATATCCGAGCTGCTCCTTTGTGCGCAGCGTGTTAAAGCACGGCTCTTCGGCAATCTGGCAAAAAAGTAGCAGCTTGGCTCGTTGCGAACGATCCGAGACAGAGCCGACTGAGATGATATACTCGAGACAATGATTGACGTTATCCGGGTTCTTCAGTACCCGCTCGTATAGGTAGTTTGCTCCACTTGGTAGTGCAATCGTGCGGCGTGACGGCCACTGGCTCTCTGGTAATCGACGTGGGCGGAGTGTTGACTTCACAAGTTTTGTAATGTTTAGCGCGTCTTCCTTATACAAGTTGCCATGGACGAGGATCTCAATGTGCATCTGTCGCAGCAGTTCGGGAAAGTACGAACGTATATCCTCGGCTGTCACAGCTGGAAGCTCCTCGAGCATTTGAAAGGGAGCCCAAGATCTTTCGCTGATCAACATGCGCGAGAAGGCATTGATTTGTCGGTACGGATCCATGTAGTCAAAGTTCTTATACGCTTTCCTCACTCTCTCCTTGGCCACGTCGAATCGCTCTTGCTTGATTTCCAAATTTCTTACTCCCAGTAATACTTTCTCCAAAAGCGCCGACATCTTGTCGTTGAAACCGTTTAATTCTATATTCAATCCCTGTGCGCTTTCGGATAGACTATAGCTCAAACCGGCTCTATCCGCGTCGTAAGCGTATTCATTGAGGCTGTCTTCGACCAAATCAACGTATAAACGGGTCATGACGGCATTCATAGGAGTGAGCGAGGCCACGGGGGACCGAAGAAAGAGCTTGATATTGGCTTTGGGCACCCAGAATTGATCGTCCTTTTTGAACCACACACGGACATTGTCGTCATGGCGGATCAGCGTAGGTTGCCGAGCTGGTTCTGTGACATCCTTCCGTTCAACCTCTAATCGTTGCGGAACAAACTCGTTCACAGCTGGTAAGTGAAGTCTGGAAGGTCTCTCTGTGACCGGAGCCTGTGCGGCGGCCCAGAGATCTTGCATGAAATCTTCGGGAATTTTTTCGAGCTTGTATTCGGTCTCGTACCATTTTTCTTTTGCGTCCCAATCTCCCGGAAACTGCTGATCAACAACAAAGAACCGAAAATTATCAGGACGTAGATGGGATAGGCCGCGCTCGATGTTTTCCGGATCAAACTTGCGAATGAGGGAAGTGCTGAGTAAATGCTCGCGTGGTATACAAGCTTTCTGCATGAGCTGGGCCAGACCGCTCACAGTTCGGGATGGAGGGCTTTTCTGCTTGAACTTGAACTCCACCTCAGCCAAGCGGCTCATTTCGTCCGAGATCCAGGCAGGTGGTGGGTTCTCTTTCAGCATAGCAATATATTGGAAGATGATTTTTAAGACCTCCCGGTATTGCCGAATGCCCTTTTCAGTGAGCCGCATGTCAACACAGAAAATTGCTGTGCCGGGACACTGAGCAGAAGCCCCAGCCAACAAAGAGTCCGCGAGACCCAGCTCCTTCAGATAAGCAAGAGCACTGCCAGGGCCCTCATGGCCAATCAGATGTCCCAGATATCGACTGGGATGGGAGGCAAAGAGTTCTTCTTCATCGGGATACGTGAAATCAATGTTTAACTGTCTTTGCTCCATCACCGGTTTAACAAATATTTGAGTCATGAGCTCGGGCTCATCTAAGACTGGTATACCGTCCCACCTCAAACGGTGCAGGTTCTTGTTCGGTACGTCAGAGAAGAGCTCCTGAACCCAGCTCTCTAATTCCTGCAGTGACTCTCTACCCAGAACGACGAGCTTCATACGGTTCGCCGAATAATGAGCCTCGTGAAACTCGATGAAGCGCTTCCGAATATCGACGCCCCGCGACACCGGTTCCTCACGCAAACACTGATAATTGCCGGTGGCGAATTTGTGGATGGGATGTTTCTCACTCGAAGTGCTGCGGCCCAGTTGTTCCAGGCGCCACGTGTCGCTTTGAAGATTTTTCTTATTCTCTGAATCCACAGCACGGAGTTCGCGATCTAGGGTATCGGCGAGAAAGAGTGGCTGGATGAAGAATTGCGAGAAACGATCGAGAGCGCCATAGAGAGGAGCCTTGTCTTTGGAGATTGGAACATTGGGTTGCTTTACATTTGCGGATGAGCCCGGACTATTAGACGTTGAACTCGCAGATAGTTTGAAATAGTAATTGGTCGATGTCGAGGCCGTGTAGGCGTTGGAGTAGCCACCATACTTAGTTAAATAAGTGCTATATTCGGTCTCTTCTGGATACTAGGCGAAGCAATGTCAGTATTTGTTTCGTCAATACGCTATTGGGTTTCCAATAGGTCTGTATATCGGTCGCTCACCTTCTTCGTACCCATGAAACACAAATGTTCTACCGCGTGCGCGGTCCCCGGCAGATCATCCGGATCGCTGAAGCTACCAACGTTGACATCCATAGCAGCGGCAGCTTTATCAGTGTCTGGATCCTGGATCAAAAGAATCTCCAATTGATTGGGCAATTGGATCACTCGGTACGAACGGTCGTCCAACAGCGGCTTCTCCATTGTGTCCGAGATGCACTCAACAGAGCCGGAACGAAGCGCTTCCCCCATGGTTTCCCCCCGTCTTTGTAGCGTATGTTCTCTGTGATACCTCTCTTGTGACCAGGTGCGATAGTGAGCCAAATGCGTTGTGACTGGAAACTGGAATTGCTGCAGTATGCTTTATGCTAGCAGAGAGACGGACAACCGATGATGAGAGCGATGATGACCTTGAAGGTTTCACTGAACCTCGAAAATTGAGCGGTTCCGTCGACGACCGAATCTGAAGCTCACGGAGAGACAAGAAAGCAACAGAGGTTGGTGAAGGGACGGATTGAATGTTGCGTGCAGGGGCGGCACAGTTGAAAAAAGGTACTATACAGATGTGCGTATCAAAAGTCTTGCGCACAACACCAAGCCACTAATACCACGCTATGCATGGAACCCATGCGGATTTTACGCAACCTGGTATTTCCAAGCACGATTTACTCATTGCTTTTTACCCCGCTTGTCCATTTTCACATTCCTTCCAATCCCATACGGCACAGCCCGACGATAGCACGGATGGCACGGCACAGTAAGACGGCGTGAGGCAAAGTCCTCCACTGTAAGCAAGCAATGCCGAATGGGATGACCTGGTGCAGGGCTTCCGGTTTTAGGTGCTTCTTGTCGAGAGGGGTTCCAAGACTGCATCATGCATGTCCTTTGGTCACGTTGGACCAAGTGTTGGCTCCGTACCGGATCGCCGAAACAAGCATTTGACGCGAATCTATGATGGGAGTTGCTGATCTGGGGAGTGGGGTAGGTGAATCCCCTCCAAAGCAGAAAGCATCGGGCCCGAGCGAGAGCTCTGGAGGCATAAGTACCGCGGGTGGGACCCTTCCAGTCGCTGTGGCTAGCTGCCTGCCGAACAAATCCGCTGCTGGGATCTTCTTATTCTCATAAAAACCAATCAACCTTTCTCAAGACATGCTTGCCGTGGCCGTCGGCTTCGCTCTTCTCGTATCATGGATCATTGCATCAATCCATCGCAACCACAATTCCAGCTTAAAAGACATACCCAATGCTCATTTCTCCGTTCCCTATTCACGCCTGTGGTTGCTGTCGCTCCGATGGCGAAAAATGGAGAATCGTAGCCGAATTCATCTCCATCGTCGCCTCGGTCCAGTCGTTCGGATTGGACCCCGTGATGTGAGTGTGAATTGCATCGATGACGGGGTTCGCACAATATACAGCAGCAAGTTCGACAAAGATGCGTCCTTCTACCATGAATTGTTCGACCAGTAAGTTTCCTGAAGCATTCGCAACTTCCCAATCAAATGACACAAGTCGATGTCTAACCGAGTACAGGACCGGTTTTATGGTCACTATGACAGGTAACGACGAGCACAGAAAGCGTAAACGTATGCTTTCCCACCCTTATTCCAATTCGTACATTCTCAACTCTCAGACCCTCGACAGTGTCCTCTCTCGCGTATCGCGTCGCCTTAGAGAAGTAATAGCAGGGTGGGCAAGCACTGGTGCCTCTGTCGATGTCTACCAGCAGGCTAAATGCTGCACCCTTGACGTTGCCTCCGGCTGGCTCTTTGGTAGCGAGAACGCGACTGATACTCTACGAGACCCGGGCTTTGAGAATGACCTCACAACGTTGGCCTCAGCTGCTTCAAAAATACTTTCCGTGCGAACCAGCCTCGACTGGCCGATTACCTATTTTGCAAGCTTGATTGGCAACGGGCTGCCCGATCCCGACGTCAGGGGTCGATGGGAAGCGTGGCTCACACGAGTAATCACAGATTCCTACAGGAGGCACCCCACCAAGCCTTCTTCCACCGCGAGCCTGTACGACCATTTTTACGATTCTTTCAAAGCCGCCAATCCCGACATGCCGCGTAACGAAGTGGCTTCTTTCATCGCTGTGGAGTGCGACGACCATCTTTCGGCAAGCCACCTCGGCCTGGGAACTTTATTGTCATATACCATGTACGAGCTATCACGAGATCCGGACTGCCAGCGGGCGCTCCGGAAAGAGCTCCTCACTCTGGCCGAACCTAGCGATCGAAGCTTGGCCCATCGCCTTGCAAATTTACCGGTGCTGGACGCCGTCGTTACCGAGACCATGCGAACCCGTGCACCCTGTCCTGGGCCCTTTCCTCGTGTCGTGCCGGACTCTGGCTGCCGACTCGCGGGGAAGTTCGATGTCCCCGGCGGCACCGTCGTCAGCTCCTCCGCCTGGGCCCTCCACTTTAATCCCGTCCCCTTTCCGTCTCCGGAAGAATGGCGACCGGGGAGGTGGCTTGAAGCAGACGAGAACACGGTCGCGGAGATGCGGAAGTGGATTTGGACATTTGGAAGCGGCGCGCGGGTGTGCATTGGCACTCATTACTCCATGCGTGGTAGGTCCCATCCCTTCACCATTCCTGATGTCCGTTTCATCGAAGAACGTGCTGACGATTCAAATCACAACCAGTCATGAAAGAGCTTCTTGCCACCGTCTATACGGATTACGAGACTTCCCTGGATGATGGATTTACAGGAAATGTGGAACAGGAGGATGCCTTCTCGGCGGGGCCTCTTGCGGGTTGTCTGAAGCTGAAATTTTGTCGGCTCACATAGCCCGATCTCTATTGAAACACCCACAAACTAGCTATCAGGCTACAGTAGTAGCTTGTAGTAGTCTGCTTAAGTGTATTTGGTGCCCACGCAGCTTTAGCGCTGCCGTGTGGCTCATGGCATACAGGTCGCAACGTTGGGAAGGAGTAATTTGCAAAGATAAATCAATAAAAATTCATCCAATAAAAGACAAACAAAATAGGTAGATTCCTTTAGGAATATCCTCTTAGACGGAATGCTAATTTTTAGAATTGTATCTGTCAAAACGAGTGTGTGTTGGTTATCTGTCTAACTGGGTCCTCCACGAACCGATGGCGAGTCGACGCAGGAGTCCCCCATTAGTCTCATGTGTAATTTAATCCCTCAAATCCTTCAAAAGTTCCAACTTTTTCTTCCGAACGCAAACGCGCCTGTTCTTGTTAAGCGAAGCCTTGTCGGTCAGCCACCTTGAGCTGGTTGTTCCGGTGAAGATGTAGCACGTAGGATTACATGCATAGATCCACATATGGAGGAGCTTCTTGTCACGGGTGATGGATGCTAAAAGATAAGAGCCCTGGAACATTGCGCCTCTCGGACTTGCGAAGGCGAACTGTTTGCATCGTGGTATCGATGGTTCCGGGAGGTTCGATTCCATCAATGAGCACACTGGTGTGCGTAAGCACTGCTTTCCGCAGCGTCTTTCGACCAAAGCTAGTGGTCCGGCGCTAAAATCAAAACAACCTATCACCCACGCTGTCGGTTGAACATTGAATGTACATACATCCTGTATGCAGGGAGTGATACTGTTGTGGATCCTTGGTTGAGAATCCTCCCGTCGGAGGGCCGCCGGACTCCCCTCCGGACCTGTGAACAGTGCGAAGTGGGGACACTGGAGTGGAGTGTACGTACCACAGGTCAACGAAGAATCACTGCACAGTCGATTCAGCCTGGTTGCCCTATGTATGAGGCTAAAAAGATTCTCCCTTAGCCGTTTCGGGTCCGAGAGGGGGTGCCCCCTTTCAGTCATGCAATGATTGACTCGTTGTCCCGGGGTTAGATCGGAGATAGGGAGCCCACCCGGCCCATTTCTAACAGCAATGACTATGTACATCTAGACTAGTATGCTGTCACATTTATGTCCAGAGAAAAAGATTCCCGTGGAGCGAATCAAGTTGATCATGCCCGACCGTGCAGCGTCACCCCCTTACCCAATACCATCGTGAGATCACAGCTGCATATGTACATTTCATAATGATCAACGCTATACCGTATGCGGATGGAAAAGCTGATTTGCTAACAATTTGTAAAGGCGGGCGATATCGTCGTCTTACTGTGCCGTGCTATCGTCGGGCTGTGCCATATGGGATCACTGTCAGGTCCTTGGAAGGCGTCGAAACCTCCTCACAGCTATCTTTTGACGCGTGCTCTGCGCTCATCACACACCATGCTATCGAGCATAAAGCAAAAGACTTCGAATTCAAAGTGAATGACTCTGCATCATTGTTCCGGATCTCTGTAGGACTTCAAGCACAGATGGATCTACACCTACATATGAGAATCTGTTGAAACTCAACTCGCAGCAAAGAAGCACAGAACACCCGAGGCGAAGAGTAGCATGGATTTGGAAGGTCGTTTCCAGACACCTCCCATAACATACCATCCCTCACGCGCAAAAATAACAACCACGAACAAACCTAAGACAAAGCTGATTAGGGCGACTTCCAAGTGGCTTTCGTATAGAGATGAGATATTGCCGCAGCATTGATCAAAACCTTTCATGTTCGCTTTCGCGTAAATGAAAGCCTGCTATCTAGACTAAACTTATGTGCGACGTTGATACAGTCAACGACTACTCCAGGCAGAAAGCAGCCTTTCTCGTCAGCGACCAATTCTTGTCCATTGATGAGACGTGATCGAGACTATCGAAAATGGCAGCATTACGTTCAAATAGGCCGTTCAACAGTCATTTTCGAGAAAAGAGCGACATTTGATTCGCTGTATCTGGCTTTGAACGGGCTAGTCACTAGCGAAAGGTGATTCAGGTTGTGTGCACAAATAATTGATTGCCCTCTCTACAAAGGAGAGGGAAGGCTACCTAGTATGCGTATATAGCAAAGGAATGACAAATGGGTCAGTCATGCCTTAAGGTCAGGCCAACTCCTTCCTTCAACAGTCCCGGGTATGATAACACGGCTCTCAGTGTTGCTCCTCCGCATTCGCAATGTTGGATCTCGCGGAATTGAATTGGAGCCTGAGCAAATTGAGCTTCAAAGGCTCTTCTTCAATTTCGTTGGACTCGGCGTTGGCATCAGGAGCGGCAGCCATCTCCGGTTTGAACAGGTTTTGGACTTCCTGCATCGCCTTCCATGGCTGAGATCTCTCCTCAGTCGCGGTCGTGTTGGTGGATTGAGGCTGGAACCCAGTTAGGTATGTCCTGTATGATTGAAGATTTCCAAGGTTCTCCTACCATTTTTGAAGAGCGCGTGTTTGTAAACTGTGGGTGGATAATGTAAGAAGTTGTCTTGTCTGAGATTGATATCCGTGAATGATGGAGATGGTCAGGGGGGTTTATATAGCACTTGAGACGGCTGTATCCCAGTTGAATGGGTGGGTGACTTGATATCTTCAGCCATACTTATTCGCTGGTCGTGCATGAAACCCATGGAGCACACGAGTATGCGTGAGGTGACGTGGACGATGAATCCGAATGTGGGCGCAGTGGTATGTACCTATGCTGATAGCCAGTAGGTGATAAAGCTATGGGGTCCGGTAATCCAGATGTCCCCTCTCGTGTTTCGACCCCGTCCGACCGCTTGGCCCCCCAATATTCGTCACTCGAAATGATTCGTTCGCTTCTTTGTACTTTATCGGATGTTTTTCATTTGCTGGAATCTTCAGCCGTATCCGTGAGCCCATTTCGCTTCCCCCCATGGTGGGCCTTGCATAAACGCCTCATCACATTGCGGACTTCATAACTGGATATTCGGAAGGATCGAACCATTCAAACCCCTGGCAAGCTGTGCACACGCTCCTTGATATCATGCACATATGAGGTGGCATCATGAGGTGACAACTGAAATTAGGGGATCGTCAATAAGGTCGCACATTCATCCCAAGGCAGGTTAGTGCTGTTTCGTATTGGCTTGGATCACCAGGGATCTTGATGCTTGATGGCAACCAAGCAAGCATTGATGCTTGATGGCAACCAAGCAAGCACCCTAAGACATATGCCAAGCATCCTGGGCTGTAACAGCTACTCGCACGCCATGGTCGTGGCGCATTGGTAGCCTGTCACTGATCAGCATTGACCCTGACTACTGTCTGTTACTTAGTAGGTATGGAGGGAGACGCTATTGTTGCACTTGTATAGGTGGAAATTGATCGGCATAAGCGTAGTATTCTCGGTTGGCAGTGCTTCCGTACGAAAAGGTACCATCAGGTGGGTGAGCTGCGTTCTGTCCCCAAGGGGGCCGCGTCGCCAACCGGTTCCAGAAACGAAGATAATGGTTTTATCCCGAGGTCTACGACGCAAATGATGCGCTGGCTACGATTACGTTGATTGAGGTCTAGCGCAGACTATGACGGACAGTGTCAACGCGAAATCACAAAGGAGGGGAAATGCCCTCCGCATTGTAGTCGGAACACTGGACAAAGTTGCATTGGTTATCATGTTGTTTTCGCTAGCAAGTATTGCGCAATCCATTACGCCCACTCATGCCGGTCAGACATTTCGAAGGATGAAATCCCAGTCTAGCACGGCTCACACGCGCTGTACGGAGTATATAGTGCGTACATATGCATGTGTAATCTTCCGCGTTAGCGTCTCCGAGGCGTCCCAGTCTACCTAATACCGACTCTACATATGTACGTGGAGAAAAGCCCAATATTTAGATGGATGAGATCCCGGTCTAGCGCAATAGGCCCGGGTTACAGTGCATTAGTGCGCAGCTCCAGTAAAGCTTCTCCGGGGCCTCAAGTGTCTCGATCCTCATACCTAAATAGGCTTTCGGGCCGCTGCGGATTGTTCGGAGGCGAGGTGGGTCTTCCCATACGTACCCCACTTCGCCCAACCCGAACTTGAGGAGATAAGCACCTAGCCAATCACACGATAGCCTTTGGGGGGTTGAGAGCCTAATTGGGCATGGCGTAGGACGATCGTCTAACAAAGCGGAGTGAGAGAACTTGAGGCTGTGGCTAGATCTCTTTGGACGGGATGAGCATTCTATCCCCCTCACTTGTCGTACTGCGTATGAGCGATTGTCCTCTAAGTCAGGGGCATGGATGGACCGAGCGGGGACTGGTAGAATCTCGTGGACCAAGCGCTCATCTTACTTGGTGCCGGTTTGAAGTGCTTAGGTGGATCATTTTGGCGAGAAACTGCGGGGTAGAGAATTGAGGAATCTACCCAACCCGCCCATTCGTGTTTGCCAATTTTAGATTCCTTTAGCTCGGCGTTGCCTTTTCTCCGCCATGCGTTCGACTTCCAATACGGGGCCGTAAGCCCGTCCTCCGGTTCGAAAAGTAGTAATCGGCTTTTGCGGCAAACTACAAAGAATCGAATCCGCTTATATCGCTGGAATAACGTCTCGTTTTCCAGGGGATATCTGAACAAGAGCGTTGTCGTTGAAGGAATGCCGGAGCCTGGAGGGAGCAATACAGCAGCAATGGCCACTGTTGACTCTGATGACTCGTTCAAAGCGAAGATCCAGTATCTTGCCAGAGACGACCAGCACCAGCTGGTGAAACCATATTATTTGTACTTCGAGTACGACTCCGAGATTGCTCCAACAAACACAACCGCCGATGATCGTTTTGTCCACATCTGTAATGCTCGGAATCTGGGCATTCCGCCGAGAGAGATGTTCTTCGAGTGGGGGTTTGCTCAGCTGCGTCTTGATTGTCCTTTGACCCCTGAGGAGTATTGCTATGACAAGAAAGTGGAAGAAATCCTATACCCCAAATACAAATCGATTGCCCGGTTTTTGTTCCCAAATGCTGCGCGAGTTGAAATCCTAGAGCACGCAGTAAGCAAAGACCCAAAGACGGAAGGCTTCAAAAGGCTGATCGATCGGAATCCAGGTTCGCAAACGTCACCCTCTTTGGCTATCTGAGGGCATACAACGACACGAGCTCAAGACAAACCAGCCGAGTGATTATGTGCACGTTGGTACGTGCTCTTAACCGTACATATAACCTTTTGAAATTCGTACACTGATCGGTTTTATTGAATGCAGATATGACGGCCTCCTCGGCTGCAAAATGCAGTATGAAGCAGTTCAACATCCACCCGAAGAGTTATTCAAGATTCGTCGTTGTAAAGTACTTCTGTCCAGATTCCCAGAAAACTGTGTCCAAGAGCTTACTCTCCATTTCACCAGCCTATGGAAGCCAATAAGAGGGCCAGTATACGACTTTCCGCTCACGCTTTGCGACCGCCGTACAGTAGACTACGCATCTCAGGCCACTGCAATGGATATCGTTACTCGTGATTACGTCAACGAAAATACTCGAATATACTTTGACGAGAAGCACAAATGGTACTACTGGCACGGCTTGCAAGTCGACGAGGTAATCGCCTTCATACAGGCTGATTCCCAAGCAGAGAACCGAGCAGGTATGATGGACTATACCCCTATCTTCTAGAGGATTTGTCTCTTGACACTGGAATGCAGGGGTTCCCCATACGGCTTTTCAAGATACTCGAAATAGTGACAACAAGCAGTTGCGGGAGAGTATTGAAGCTAGAGTGTTTGTTTATTTTGACTGAATGTCCCGACTCTCAAGCATCCTGATCACACACTAGCGATGTAGAATGAGTAACATTTGCTGTGGATAACAATCAATCTATCGTCCAGACTTTCCAAACCGTTCTTTACTGTGAAACCAGTCTCCGTATCTCATCAGCAAGCCCAAAGGGGGAATGAAAGCGGCTGCGATAAAGGCTAGAACAGTGTTACCCCAGCCCTGTCCAATGCTTTGATATAAAGGAGGGCCGATTAATGGCAGAAAAGCCCCAGCAATCGCTCGGAAGATTACACCAGCAGCTATAGCAGATGCCCCATGGATCTCGTAAACATCCACCACGTATGTTTCGGCCGGTATGGCGGAAAGCGTCATGCTGAACCCCGCAGCACACGTTCCAATGAGCGGCACGATGTATTGAACATGAGACTCTAATGTCCATCCGTAGATGAGGAAGCCCAGAGGAAGAATGATTGCGGCAAGAAGCAGATGCACCAGCCGAGACTCCGGCTTGAATGCGTCGCCCTTCGTTTCCCGCTGATGGATCACGTAGCGGTCGGAAGTGAGACTGTAGAAGATCAAAGCGCTGGTGTTGCCGATGGCGAGACTTAAAAACGTCAAGCCAATGGAGCCGCTAGAAAAGACGGCTGGGTACGTCGACTCCATGGTTTCCGTGAGTGTGGCAAGGATCAATGAGACTAAGCCGTATGTCGTGGCCATGTAGCTCGTCGTCAGCATGAGGATGGGAGACTGGGCCAGGATCTGCATTGGTTTTATGGCCCTTTCGAGCATGGTGGATGCATCGACACGGGCCTGATGTTTGGAACGATACTTCTTGTCGTCCGCGCGCTCCTCTTGTAACCGCTCCGCCTTCCGCCTCAGAATGACGACTGTGTATGTCTCCCGGAGCACAGCCAGTAAGAGCAAGCTGAAGAATCCGAGCACGATGGCCGCCAGCCAAATCGACCATCGCCAACCCAGGCTCTGTGCGATATACGCTCCTGCGATAGGTGAGATGAAATCTGCTATCATCTGAGTTCCCATGACTAATGCCATGGACCGGCCGGTTTGTTCCATTTGGAACAAATCCCCGACGATGGCGGGCCCGAGGGTGAGAATCGACAGGAAGCAGCCTGTTAAGAATCGGAACGCAATCAGCATGGAGATGTTTACGCTCAGGGCGCTGGCGATCAAGCAACAGAGCGCGAGGAGATTTCCAATATGGAAGACGGGAAGCCGGCCGAATCTTTCGGAGAGCGGCGCGATGAAAAACGGGCCAATCCCTTCCCCGAGCTCCCAAATCGTGACGAGCAAGGTCTGGTCGATCTTATTGTGTGAATGGAACTCTTGCAAGATCTGCGGCGCCGTGGGCACGATCGTCATTGTCGAAAAGACACTAATTCGGTCAGTCGACGGCGGCAGATATACAGAGACTGGCGAGAAAAAAAAAGACGCTCACCTGACGAAACCCATCCACGAGATAACGAACACAATCAGCCATTTTTGCATTGACGACCAATTCAAAGGGTTTTTCGGGTCGTTCTCCTCGAAGTCCACGAGGACGACATCTGGATCGCTGTCTCCGATGGCATTTTCCAATGGCTGTTGGGCGAACTTTTCATTCTCGCTTCCCGCCGCAGCCATGGGCTCTTTGCCTGACAATTTCTGCGGCTCGACTGAAGATAAAATGGGGACTGGGTGGGTGACAGCCTCGTCGATGAAAGACATCAGTGTCAAGTGGGTGGCATACGCAGTGTCTATTCAACTGCTGAGAGAGCAGGCAGGAAGGGGCACATTGCGAAACAAAGCGACAGTTTAAGGGCCGACATGGTTCATCACGTGAATAGCCTAACGCGCAATCCGTCTCTTTTCATTTTGGTAAAAAATGACTTAATTTTCAAATTGGCGTACTTTACAATACATGTAATTTTTCCCACGGAGATGGGGTCTACGACTTGCGTCCATAGGTGCCAAATCTATCGCTAATAAGGAGGCGTGGCTTGTCACTGGCCTGAGCCCTAGTCTGCGGGTCAAACACATGTTTGATCCAATAATGGCTAATCGTACTGTGAGATTTTGAGATGACAAACTGGCAGTTCTCGAATCGAATTTCCCTCTCTTTCCTCTCCTCTTATGATCTCCTTTCCGCCCCTCTGTCCTTTGTAGTGGAACCTTAATCCTTGTGGGCCTTTCGTGTGATGGAGTCCTCTTGTTGAGACTCATTCCTACCCGTTCCTCTATCTGACTTGGTAAGTTCTCTCTATTTGTCCCTCGCTCTTTTCTCTTCCTTTTGAGCGCCATTCTTTGTCTTTCCCGATCGTCACTCCATGACTGAGAGATGGATTATAAATCGCCTCCCCTCTCGTCATGCTCAAATCGTCTGCTTTGGTGTTGCTTCAGTGGTCATTCCATCACAGTGGTGACGAGGGACTTGTCATCTGGCCACCCTCCATTTACTCGATGCTTACTGGTTCTTTTACATTGCATTCTCCCTAATTTTTTCATTCGTTTCTATTCTCAGGACACACCTTCCTTCTCCTCAGTTGGCTGCTGAAGTGATTCTCAGAAGAATCATATTCTGGTTGCCATTTAACGATACTCCTCCGGGTAGATCCGGCTCGGCGACTGCGGTTATAGGGATGATGGGTCCATATTGTCCAGCTTTCAGCAACAATAGTCAGACTCAGACGTTACCTTCCCTATCCTCAGTGCTAGGACCTGAGTTCTCTTCTTCGATAAATCAATTCTCCCAAGCACCTTATACTTACCCTCCCCCTCCGAGCTCATTCTCCCAGTTTTCTCCCTTAAGCACCAATACTTCTTCTCGACCCCCCCGGAATTATCACTCCAGCGGACCCCGACATGCGCTGTATTAATAGGGCCACCTCCTCCACCGCCCCCAGCATCGTCGGATACCCATCAGCCACCTACACCGTACGAAATGCCGCCAATGACGACGAACAGTCCGACCGCCAGTTATCCCACTCCCACCCAGCCGGTGGGCCCCATCTCTGCCAAGTTGGCATCAAGCAGCTCGCACCCTTCGCTCAACGTAGCGGGCATTGCGATAATCGGCCCCTACAGGTGTAATCATCCTGGGTGCATGAAAGGGCCCTTCAAATCCAAGGACGCTCTCACGCAAGTATCATCGTTTGTGAGTTTCTTATCGTCCCTTCCCTCACTTGTTTATGATGGTATTTGATCATCCCATTCCCTAACACACGTCCAGGTCTCAGCACATATCTGTCACGTAGACGGCTGTCCTAAGTCTATATAGGGAGTCATGGGTTTGGGTCAACACCACAACCATGGCTGATCGTAATGAGATATATACCATTTGATAGAGCTTAAAGAGAGTAATTAAATAATAATATTATTACTAGATAACAATTTGGATTTACCAAATGGCTGCCGAAAAAGGCGTCGTTCGACGCCGAAAATGGCAGCTATTTGGTAACACGTGATCTCGCCCTCTCACCACGACCTTGTCCACTACTACCACGTATCTCGACTTCAACACCCTTGTTCATGGCCCTACCGTGGGCGTTCCTATCTCTTCTCTATCTTTCAACGAGGCTTATCTTCTGCTTTACCGTCGTGCCTGCAACCGCCGTTTTCTAAGGGCGCTGAAAATGGCTTTACGGCACTTAATTAGTCCGAAGCTGCGATAGCTGCCTTTTATTTTGTTGTGGCCCGTTTTAACTATTTTTCTTCCTTTCTTATCTATCTATTCTCTTGTTTTCTCGTCTTCCTATCTTTTATTTATATTATTATTCTAATCTGCTGTATTTACAGGAGTTATTATCTGTTGAACTATGGGAAGTTTATGGTAGGTGGGGAAGCCGGTATTAGCTATAAGAGAAGCTGGAACTTCTCTAGGATCGGATACTAGATACTAAACAGAAATATAATAAATTTGTTTATAAATTGCGCAATAAGAAATAATGATAACAAAATTAATGAATCCGAGAGAATCTAGAACAGTATAATAATAAGCAGCTAGTAAGTGATTTGGAACAGCAGCTAGCTGGGAAATTAGTATTAATACTATATTTACTATACCGGAGATTATTCTGAAAGCGGAGTATTAGTATTGGATTAATATAATTAATGCAGTAACTGCTTTCTGCGGCGCAGAAAAGGGCTGTCCTATATATCGAACAATTTAATCGCGCCGCCGGCCCGTGCCTAATAATAATAAACCTTATTCTGTTGCTAAGCAGCATTAATCCTCTGCAGAGAATAAGACTAAGATTATCTTGTGCTAAGTAATGGAATCTTTGCAGATTAATTCTTCTAAATAGCGGCCCCAGATCTGCTTTCTCTGTTTAGGGAACCCTGATCTCCTGCTATACTTCTTACAGAAATATATCAACCCTCCCTGGCCGGCCAGAGGTGTGACGTGTGAAGTCTGTGATGGGGAACTATTGCAACGGAAGTCTGAGCTCCTTAATCATACTGAGCTTTCCCATGAGACCGTTATGGGAGGCGCTACTCAGCGTAGGCTGGCGCAAGAAATCAACTCTCACTTGGCTTGTGGTATGGTCATTGAGAGCAATCCGATCTACTTTCAAATAGTTGTGCGTGTTTACTTCGATATAAGCGTCTATGCGTACCGAAGGCCTATAAGACGAGTTATTCGATGTAGACCAAAAGCTCGTCGGAAAATATTATAAGATTAAGGCAGAGGAGTTAGAGCTTAAGTCTGTTGAAAGTGCTCTAATCTAGTTCGGTTCGGGCCGATAGTTAATCCGTGTTCAGATCAGTGCATATGACTAGATCCGCCTTTGTAAGTTTATATTATACTAAGCCGCGTGATAGAATTTAGTTAACGTAATCCACAAGCGAGCGGGCCACCCAAGCGAGCGGGCCACCTCACGCGTTTCAGACGCGGTCACAATACTCAACCAATTCAAACCACCACCATGTCTCCAAAACAACATCAAAAA